AAACTCAGGATCGGCTGTATACATTGAATGCAATATATCCAGTGAGTACTGGAAGACTTCAGGCTCTTCTGCTTCCACCAGCTCCATGCTGAGCCTAGAAAAGGAGAAAAAAATCAAAGACCAAGTCAGAGAAAATAAGACACGCAGAGCCCCAACTAGATTTCATGGGTAGCACAAGAAAGTGGTTAATAAAGAAAAAACATAGATCCATTAATGACGTAACAAATTATTGCCCTATGTTGGGATGGGCAAGAGTAGGGTAAAAAAGAATGAAAGAGAAAGAGAGAGAGAGAGAGAGAGAAAGTAGCTCAGTGAACCGTCCAGATGACACACTGATGAAGGAGTAAAAGGACACTCTGAGTTAGTACCCTCAGAACACACAGCGAACACTGATCATAAAAACAAGAATGGTCAACCTACGGTAGTTAGTACATGATAAGGGGAGGAAGAAATGGAACCCTAAATATCTACTGCAATGAAAACCAACAGCGGTGTTAGTAGGGATAGTTCAGGCTTCGTTGAAAACACGGTATCGATATTGTCAGCCCACTCTGTTTTCCCTGGACCTGGCGTCTCCAGGTGTCAACACATAATTAGCTGTTCACAATAGTTCAGAGTTACCTGGGGCATGGTGGGCCTCGCTCTTCTTCCTCTTCTTGGTTATTTTAATCTCTGCAATAAATTCAGACAGGGACAGACAAAATAAGCCAGTTCCCCTACACCCATAACAGTCCACTGTCTAATCCCTGCACAGGGACCTCAGGCTCCTCAGCATGAGAACAGGATCATGTGAGAGATAGACTTCAGGAGGTCTGAAGGCCAATCATGATAGCATAGCTTGGTGTGAGTGTGCAACACCTGCCTGGGGTTTCAATGTCCTGACAGTCGGTCCAGGGTGCGACGGCCACGGCCTGAGACTAGAGAGAGAGCAAAGCTCACTGACCACCACCCCCCCCTCCATGTCCTTGCTTCAGACTGGAATCCAGAGTGATCAAAATCTACACTGATGTACAGGTTCAGCCCACAGTGATGACAACTCTCAGCCCAGCCAGGGGAGCAATGCCCAAAGACTATGGGGTCTATCTGGGACACAAAATGGAGCTTTATCGCCTTCACAATGGAGTACTCACTGTCTATGTCACCAGCCAAGTCGAATTCCTGCTCCTCTAATGAGTGCAAGTTGCTCCTGTAAGGCTCATTGAAGGCAGATGTGCCCAGGAGGAACTGAGAGAGTCGAATAACCTTTATCCCAGGACTCCTGGGGGGCTTCCTCCTCCACAGACTCCTGCAGATTCCTGATGAGCAAGGCAGGACAGGATGACAGAAGATTAAACCAACAGAGATTAGACAACAAAGTCTCCCAGCTGATCTGATGGAAGTCAGAATGGAGTGGTCCCAGAAAGCAAAGGCATTTTTCCTTCAAGAGAAAAAAAACTATCCTTCTAAATGCAGGGCGGAGGGTGACTACCTTGGGGACAGAGCACAAATGAGCAGCAGGTGCTCAGTGCATTTGCACAGATGAGCCACTGCAGGCTACCCAGACTCCCTGTAAACTCTCATCATGAACTGCAACACGAGAACTAACATGGGACTTCAACTACCTCGCATAAGTTGTGTTGAATTTTACATGTGACATTCAAGTGAACAGAGCTCTTGAGGCATTTCAGACACCCAGACCTTGTGTATTAAGGGCCTCCTTTTTCTAGTATTTTGATATCATATGTATATTTTTTGAATTTCTTCTCTTCACAAATCCTAGCAAACATGCTAACAAGAAATAGGCAGAAAGCATATATGCGTCTCTCCCTGGAATTAAACACATGGGAGAGAACAGGCGAAACCAGGAAATCCCTGTTTGCTGAGTTCACCTGGCTCATCTGATTGCATATTCCTATATTAGGACGACTAAAAAATTAAAACGTATAAAAGTGCCGCAAATCACGCACAACTTTGTCAATAAGGACAATTTGTAGCTGGGTGAAGGGAAGAAAGAGTTCTAGTCATCACTTCCCCGTTTTCCCTGGAGCTGCAGTCTTCAGGTGTCACTACTGAGCTAACAGCCCACAACTCCACCGCATTACCTGGGGGTCACTGGCCCTTTTTCTTCCTCTTCCTCATCATCACTTTGACTTTCTGTAAATAAATTCAGAGAAACAGGCCACATTAAGAAAATCACACTTCACATACGACCAAATCAGTGTTTAGTCATAGCACAAGCACAGAATTGTTCTCAGGGCAAAAATACAAATTCTGACAGGAAGACTCTAGGGTGCCCTGGATGAAGCCTGGTGAGTAGATGAGCCTGCTTTCCAGATGCACAGGCCAAAATCTCCCTGTACAGGTACACCATAATGCCATATTCTCTCCGCGAGTCTATGCAAAGTTAAACCAAATTTTTTCCCCAGGAAATCATAAAAAATTAGTCAAACTATTTTCTGGGAGTGTTGCTACAATACTGACTTACCTCACCAGGTAGCAAGGTCATTGAATGGTTAGAGGCATCTGTACTTGAAACTGGATGGATATGTAAATTCTAACAACACTTGCTTGAAAAAGAATCTGTGAGCTTTGCACAGTGGCAGTGTCGTAGCCAATGAGGTTTATCTGAGACGCAATTAGCAGTAATTGAAAATTTTTCCCAATACCCCACCATGATGACTTGCAATAAAGTCGCATTGGCAATTTTTGAGCGTCTCTAGGGAGACTGAATTAAAAACAGATAAAACAAAAACAAACAGAAAAGAATCTGTGGGCCCGGCACGGTGGCTCACGCCTGTAATCCCAGCACTCTGAAAGGCCGTGGTGAGCACTCCACGAGGTCAGGAGGTCGGGACCATCCTGGCTGCCACGGTGAAAGCCTGTCTCTACTAAAAATACAAAGAAATTAGCTGGGCGTGGTGGCACGCGCCTACAGTCTCAGCTGCTCAGGAGGCTGAGGCAGCACAATCGTCTGAACCCAGGAGGCAGAGGTTGCAGTGACCTGAGATCGTGTAACTGAACTCCAGCCTGATAGCAGAGGGAGACTCCATCCCCACCTCCAAAAAAATTAAATCTGTGAGTTCAAAGAGCAAGGCGGGTGAAGAATTGAAGATCTGGAGTTCAAGACCAGCCTGTCCAATATGGTGAAACCCCATCTCTACTAAAAATACAAAAATTAGCTAGGTGGGGTGGTAAGCACCTGTGGTCCCAGCTACGCAGGAGGCAGAGGCAGGAAAATCACTGCAGTCGTGTAGTGGAGATTGCAGTAAGCCAAGATGGTGCCACTGCACTCCAGGTCAGGTGACAAAAGGAGACTCCATTTCAACAACAACAGCAAACAATATGTGACACTACGAAGAAAAATCAGACCGGCCATTGCACTGATGGGCTGGAGAGCCGGGCTGAGGCTTGCTTCACGGAAACACATCAGCAAGGTAAAGAGGAAATATTTTCATCCTGGTTTCAAGGTGACTGTGCAGCTAAGCAAGCTGACTCAAAAGAGATCAAGACCGACGCTCGGAGCAGTCAAACCTGGGGAACAATATCGCCAAATGAATAGGCAAGGCTCCCGGTTTCCTTAAAAAGAAACGGAAACTCCATGAACATCGTTCAGGGACAGATGACATAATGACAGGAGATGAGAGATACCGACTCAAAGCTAGGAGACCTGACAGACACCTACTGTACACCTCCTGCACTCAGGTGACCATGAGTTTGTCACACCGGCCTGGGGTCTGGTAACTTGATACTTGGGCCTGGGAGACAAACGCATGGCATGAGCTGAGGGAGAGATAAAAATTCCCTGATATCTGCGTTTAGTATCCCATCATACATTTTTATTCAAACCGATTTGTGTGTATAGAGCCTGTCTTCAGAGTTGATCTTCCTCAGCCTAGACAGAGGTACCAAAAACAAGGAATGTAGGGGTCACCTGAAAGAATGATTAGAGCATCCTCCACTACATCATGAGATGACGGACTCTTGACAGCCAGTGCAGAGTCGACATTGTCTGCCTTGAATGGGATTTCACTGGTGTCTCCGTGAGGCTGGCTGGAGTCAGTAGGGCCATAGCTATTTGAACGAGTGATGAGACATTCCTCCGGTGAGTCTTCAGGGACTCTCTTGACATCAGCCCTCGCCACCTCCCCGATGAGCCTGAGGGTATAGAGATGACAAAAGATTAAACAAAGGGGGATTGGACCCCAGCAAGTCCTGGCTGGTTTTCACAGGAGGAATCAGAGAGGGGTCTCAGAAGGCAAATGGGAGGTTCCCTTTGAGAGGAAACAGGCAATCCTCCTCTCTGCCACAGAGCATGGCTGCCATGGGAGCCGGAGAGAAAGAGAGCAGCTGGTATTCATCACACTGGGCAGAAAGGAGCTGAGAAGAACAGAGACTCGGTTATCCCTGCATAATTCAGACACGGCACTCAGCACATACAAAGAACCACAACAGCTGCCACACCCCGTGTCTAAGTTGGGTTGAACTGAACGTATTGTGGCCAAGGGAATGGAGGCTTTTGGCCCATGGCAGACACCACAGAGGGTGAGATTCTAGAACTTTTCCATACTTTACCACCCACTACTTGCTCCTGATTATTCAGCGTTACCTGGGGACACGTGACTCCTGTATTTGCTCAGACTCTGCGACGTGAACATCTTCTTCCTCATCTTGGTCATTTTCTGCAAGTACAGATGTGTTCGTTCAGATATTTCCCCTTTCACACTCTGCAAGCACAGTCAGCCCAATGTGCACAGGGACATGAACGTCTGCGTGTGGGTCCCTGTTCTAC